TTTCAAAAAAAATCATTTTACAAATTCAGTAGGTGAAAGGTTAATTTCATATATCTTTGCAATCTTGTGGTTGAATGGCATTAAATTTACCTGTCACAACGTTACAGTTATAAGGATGTAATTTGTAAGCCGCATTAAAGTATTCTATATAATTTATGTGTGAAATCATTATATCCCGAAATATGGCCTATGACAGTTCTTTGGTAGTAAGTACTCTCTGGTACTTATTATTTCTCTGTTACTTTTCTTGCAATATTTGAGGTTAAGATATACATGTATATGTTGAAAATCCTTTAACAGAAATGAAAACTTAAAAAAACAAATCTATAGTACATTTATACATGCTATGAATGATTCATGAAATTCTCTATACAAAACAGTAGAACTGTGATTTTTTGTCAATTTTCTTGCAGAGAAGCGGAATCATTACTGCAGTGTTTAGCATTCTTTTTATAAATTCTTCCACTTTTATCATAATAGTGCAATACGTGATTTCTGCTGCCCAGTATGAAGTTCAGTTAGTCCAAACTTGTTGTTGCATGCAGTGTTTGATGTATGTCCTAATATTTATATTTTCAATATCTATACAAATTTTGCAACTGACATTCCGTGTGTAAAGGAAAGTCATTAAGTAAAGGATAGTTGCTTTAAAGAAGAAATGTGAGATTGTTATGTTTAAATAATGATTTTAAAGAATGTTACATGATTGTTACGTGAAGAATGTAGCGATAAATGTAAAACAAATCGTCATAAAAGTAGTAAATGTAAACAAAATACTATTCACTTTTTGAATACTTTATTCTTACTATTATAATACTCATACTAATATGTCTTAATAAAAGAATGTACAGATTATTTTTAGAAAGCTGCATGTCCTATAAATGGCCAATTTAATTGGTTTTTCGTTAAAAAAATGCTTTTTTTACTCAATGTATAAGTACTGTGTTAACCTATAGAGTGTAGTGTTTAAAACTTAACGTATTTTCTTTGTGTACCTAAAATTGTTTATTTTACATTAAATAGTTACTGTATAGACATTATCAGTATTTTCATCATGTACCTTTCAAATAGTGAATTTTGTAATAAACAATGTTCTAAACAAAATCAATATAAGTAATATATTGTTATATTAATCGACAATACCCTGGCTATCTTATACATATATTTAGTACATTCGGTACACAAAAATGACATATTTAACGGTACTCAATAAGATAATTTCAAAGTATACCAAAATGACATATATAATTAACGGGCATTGTACTAAATAAGATAATTTCAAAGTATACCAAAATGACATATTTAACGGGTAATGTACTCAATAAGATAATTTAATGGTATACCTAAATGACATATACATATATATTTAACGGGTATTGTACTCAATAAGATAATTTCAAAGTATACCAAAATGACATATTGAATGGGTATTGTCCTAAAAAAGATAATTTCAAAGTTAACCAAAATGACATATTTAACGGTTAATTTACTCAATAAAATAATTCGCGAGTATACCAAAATGAAATATTTAACGGGTATTGTACTCAATATTATAATAATTTCCTAGTACATACATGGATGTTTATAAACTTTAAACTTGATGATTGCCATGGTTCCCGTATTGTATTTGTTCAAGAAATAAATTAATTATTGATAAAATATCACTGCAGGGAATTTTGCAATAGTTTACGTATAAGTGAAAATAAAGTAAACATTCACTATCAACTATAGTTGTGTGAATTTGTCATGACACCTATCCTCCTCTGTTTATCGTAATTATCAACTATTCCAAGAAGTATTAAACTTTTTTTGTCAGAAATCTAATCTTAATGTCAATAACACTTTATCTTACACTTCTCATCCCATGTCTGTCGTAATTATCAAATATTGCATAAGGTATTTGAGTTCGTGTCAACCATCTTATCTTAATGTCATTTACATTTTATTTGTTACAAATGGGTTTTTAGATTTTAAAGTCATATCAGTCAATCTATTTATCAATCAATCAATCAATCTTTATTCAGTAATCATAGGCCAGTCATAATAGAAATTATGGTAAAACTAATTCCTTCGCAAATGTTTTCACGATTAAATTAAAGATAAACATTATCTACATTTTGAGAAAAAAGTCCTCAAAAAATCTCCTTGCAGAATCCTGAAAAATCGATCATAAAGATTTAGTAAAAATCGATATTTAAATGTGTCTCTTAAATTACACCATACTTTAATTTTATGCACGTTCGGTGACGTCACATTTATTATATTTTCGATGAAAGATCTGAAGTTACTTCAAATACAGCATTCCTAGTGCAAAGGTGAGTATTTTTAGTCATTTTTATATTCTCTTGTATAAATTTTAGGGAAAATATGTCAGTAGATATATTTGATTGACCACCAATCAATCGATTATGCAGATGACAAAATGTGTCATATAAATTCGCGATTTTAAACACAATTTTGAATGAAGTAATCATTAAAAGAGTCTTTATCTTTTACTCACTGTTCTATATTGTTTTCTATTGTACATTTATCTAAAATTACACAGAATAAATCACACATCTTACTGAGTATTTCAAAAAATGTGTATTCACAAGTTATGTAAATTTTTCTTCCCTACGGAAGCGTGTTGGGACCAAAATCACGAAAATCTAGGGATATTTTCAAAATGTTAAATTTGACTTATTTCAAAGAGTTGGCATGTTTTATGAATTGTGGAAATCATAATTAAATCAAATAATATGTTAACTTGATGTAAACAAACGTATTTTGTAATACATAATGCATTTCTAAGCGAAATGATAATATTCCAGCATGTTATATGAAAAATAGACAGCGTATCCAATAGGGTGTAATCAAGATAAAGCTATTACCTATTAATGAGGACATTGTTACTGGAACTTTATACATTACTTTTACTTCTTCACAGAAGACATGGATTTAAAACCCAAATTATTATGCCAAATATTGATTATTTTGTAGGTTCAATCATATCATATGCATCTGAGAGTATGAGGTTATAGCAAATCAAAAGATATTTGAGCGTATTCACTTGAAATATTGTAAAAAAAATTAATTCAAGCAATGTTCGTATATACGGCGAACTCGGCCGTTACCCATTGTATATAAATCAATACGTAAGAATAATTAAGTTTTGGTGCAAATTGATAAATACTGACAATACAATTTTACGGAAAATATATGACTTAAGTTTATCTGATCGTTATAAAGGTAAAAAACCGGGTATCAAATGTTAAAGAAATGCTAGATATGTATGGTTTATCTGAATACTTTTTTGAAAATAATATCGTAGATAGTAAATTATTTCCAAAAATATTTAAACAAAGAGTTATATATTGATAATTATATACAAATATGGCATTCATCTGTAGAAAATAATTCTGTTTTAGAACTTTATAAAAATTGTAAAGAATTATATTCATACGAAAACTATCTTAGCAAAATTATTACCAAAGGATCTTAGATTTTACATCACGAGAATAAGAATGTCTGCACATACACTTAGAGTACTGATATGGGCAAAATAGAATCCCAAGGAGTGAAAGATATTGTTTATGTTGTAATACTATGGATTTAGAAGACAAATACCATTTTGTTTTGATATGCCCATGTTATGTTGACATTAAAAAAAAATATGTGAAACGATATCATTACAAATGTCCATCAATGTGTAAATATTGGACTGATTTCTTCTAATAATATAATTATACTCACTAATCTAGCTAAATATTTGAGAGAATCAATTAAAATCAGGAACATTATTGTTAGTACTAACAACTGAATTTTGATATTTTGTTACAAATTTATACTAAAAATTCAATTGATTTGTTGTATACTCTTCGTAACAAATTGTTTTATAAGTGGTAATCCATTATTGTTCATTCTCCAGCTTTACATGAAATTCGATACTATATATTAAATCCTATTATATATTATTTGTTAAATGGAAACGTGACATCTTTGCAATTTGTGTATTTATATTGTAGTGATGATGCACTATGTACAAATCTAAAATAAAATTCTGTTCTGTTCTTTACAAAGTTTTATATCTTATGTTTTAATTATTTTTATTCTATCATACTAGACAATTTGAATAAGTCTAATAATCTAATGTCAAAATGCAATAGATTTCACTTATCAAAATGGTTTTAAAACACAAAATTTACTTAAATACTAAGATGACATATTCAAAGAGAAAATTAAAATGAGGTGTTAACAGACCAGACTTCAAAATTGCATTTGATATAGATTTTAATCATATCTTTTCCGATCCTAAACCATTTTATTCTTATTATAACATATTAAATTTGCTTCAATTGTTTTCTTTCTAAATGTTGTGTAGCTTGATAATCTACCCTCATGATACCAGTGCCAGTTGTATGTATATTTTAAGTAATGTTTTCCATGTTGTTGTCAGCATTTATAGAACAGTTGTTGTATAATTAGTTAGAAGATGGATAGACACGTGACTTCTACACAAGGGGTAATGGGATGTGAGAGAAAAATGGCTTTTTACGTAGATATATCTTATTGAATGAATGAAAACAAAACAATTGGGTGTCTTTCATGTTTGTTAATACAACAGAAATTGATATATCAACACAAATTTACATCATTGTTTTACAGCATGATTATAATAAATGCACATACAAACGATTTTGCTCATACCAACATTTTCTTAGGCGTCTCCCTACTCTATCATTTCAATACTATTTCTTTTTAATATATTTTTGATAATGTTTTATGGACTTTATAAATCTTATTTTCAGAGGAAGGGCTAAACATAGTATGGGATGGTTGATTGCAGAAGACAATATTTAGCGAGAGTCCAGCCTTTTATATTTTGGCGAACATAAATCAATCCGTTGATTGGATGTGGCAAGAATTTTCCATATTTCCAAGTTAGGAGAGGCTAAATGGGTTCTGTTTGAAAAGATCCAGCATTTTTGAAAAGCAATTAACAGGTAAATCAAAGAAAAACCCTCTATATTTTTAATACACAGTTGGTGTACCAGATTCAATTTTGTGTGCTACTGCATACATAACTTTTCTAAAGGGAATTCACATTTGTAAAAGTTAAATGGTTTTCTTTTAAAAGTGTTTTATTTTTAGCGTCCAAAACTGCAGTTTTCATTTTTAGTGTCCAAAACTGCAGTTTTCTTACATTCTCGGAATTACTAAGATCAGAGATTTGTTTGTTGGTTTTTATGTTAAATCAAGACTTTACAGGTCATATAATAACTTCAAGCTTTACTGGTGAAGGAAAAAGTGTGACATAGGTATTATTTTTAGCGCGTAGAACCACCAATATTCTATAAGCTAGTTTGGAATAGCTATGTCAGATAATAGATTCCAAAACCCAGGCAGGACTCGAACCTTCATCGTTAACAGCGTAAGAAGCAAGTGTTTTAAAGTCAGGACCTTAAACACTCGACCAAAACTTCCTATTTAGTTATCTGTATGAAAGTATAGGTGCTGTTTTGTTCAGTATTTCCTACTTATATGGCACATTATCATGTTTCACAGTCAGCGCTTATTTCAGGCGATAGGCAATTTACACGCTTTAAATTTGTTATAACAATATAACATGAAACATATTTTCTAAAGAAGAAAGCTGAGGCACGTTTTTGCTGAGGCTAAACGTGCCTCATTAATGTATGAATTATTTGTAGATAATTCAATATAAAAATATAAATCTAAAAGCACAATCCTATCTTGCTTTTCATAGTACCTACATTTTCAGTTTGACATAAAATTGTTTTATTTTAAAAGCAGAATGCAAAGTTCGCATTTTTATTTATCATATTATGTTGTAACAATTTTACAGATGCGAAACAATGTGTCTCTGTGAAAAGGGCAGGCTAAAGGTTTCAACAGCACCGGCCGAAAAAGTGGAGATATAATTTCAGCATTGAACAAGGGCAGGGCAATATGTATATATACATGTGTAGCGTTGTCAGACTATATGGATAGTCGGGCCTCGGTGACAAAAATGATGAAATAACATTGTGTTTTTTCAGTGTCTTAACATTCAGAAGATTCATTTTATTTTAAAATGTCTTTTTACAATATTTTTTTTACAAACTTTCCATGGTAAAGTAAGTGCAATTTAGCATTGGTAAGATATTTACTTGAAGGATTGATTTTCAGAACAGAAATGCAAATACAATGTATATAAATAATTATTCGTGTAAAATGTATTGCAATTTTGAATTATAATATGAATTTAGATAGTTTCATACAACTTTATTCTTGGTAGAGGCTGAGCTAACTTGTAAGAATATTTAATGGAATCTGACTGAAAGTAAAAAAAATATTTATCATTAGTGGGTGGGGTAATGTTTTATACCAGTCTAAATGATGATGTATAGATTATGCAGTGTTGCGACTTTTTGAATGTAATCAACATTGCTTGAAGTGTTTTTGATTAAATAAAGCATGTTTGCGTATTAATGTGTTACTTTGTTAATGACCAGATTTGCGTAGAATATCTGGGTTATTTAATTTCACAGATTTTTCTAATTGAAAACACATGATTTCAAAACATGTCATTTTTAGAATTTTATACTTCGAATTTTTTTGAGGACTTTTTTCCTGTAGCAACACATATATAGTAGATAACAAATATGCAAATATCTTTTCTGAAGGAATTTGTTTTAGGTTGGGTCTTATTTTTGGCTAAAATGCCTAGCCTATCAGCATAAATATTCAATTGGCCATTTACAAGTAAATATTTAATATAAAATATGGCCAAGACAAAAATAACACATGAATCTGTGTACAATAATAATTCAAACGGATAATTAAACACAATAGCTTATACACATTGCAATACAACGTGAATGAATGAACAATTGAATTATCAGAACAGATAGGAACAGAACAAAGTTATTAATTTGACACTTCAATAAAATGCATGAAGCATATCTCTATAATAGCTTTATTAACGTTCAAAGACACACTGTTTTATTTTCTACAAAAGAAGATGTTTAATTATATCATGTTAATAATTGGCGTTTATCTATGTTGTATGAAAATCTAGGGTTTTTTATTAATGTTTAAACTCTTCGGAACATGGTTCTGTTTCTTATTGTATGTGTATATGTTTATTTGTATATGCTAATTTGTATTTATGTGGCTACAAACATTGTACTATGTTTTATGCTTTATAAACTTCATACTCCTATTCTTTTTTGTCATCTACGTAGAAAATAAAACAAAATTAACTGATTCATCATTATCATTATCAAAAAGATATGGTAGATATTACCTAATACGTACTTTAGAGTCATTTGCCTTTTTATTGAGATAGCGACTGTTAAAGGCAAAAAATAAGACAAAACATTTGCTTAAAATGTCCAAGCATACGACCTAAAAGTAAATCACTTTGATAAAATTCAAGGAGGTATAATTCCCTGAAATATATTCTATTAGTTGCTTTAGTTTTCGAGTCGACATTAGAAGACAACATAAAGAAATTTATTCTCATGATATTTGCAAATCGTTTGTTCCCCTAGAAACGTCGAATTGAAATTCTCTTTTGTGATTTCATTTAACTTTAGTTTTCATTACTTATATCAAGGTTTCTGGCAAAATGAAAAGTCTTATTTAGTTGACAAGAAAAACGAATCAAATGAAAATGCCACTTTGGTAAATATTCGTAATCCCCTGTGGGAGATTTTGTCGCACTTATTAAAAAAATAATACTTTATAGTCATGAGCTTTAATAAATTGTCATTTAACAGTCATAATTTTCTTCAAAGCGATTCTGATTCTTGTTATTTGAGATTTCTTTTATAGCATAAGAGACACAAACATGATTTTTGCACTTCAAGTTGCACATTGGTTTTTTTTATGTTTTACAAACAAAATTTCGAAGTCTTGCATGTTAATTGAACAAAATAACGATAACATAATTTTCAATCATGGCAGATATGATCAAACACAAAAACATGAAAACAAGAAACGGATCTCGTGTTTCGGTTTATCCTAAAAAATGAATTTGTTACTGCTGGTATTTGTAGAGTCACTTGATTTCTTTCTATCAATGACATATAAAAATTGACTTTATAACTTTAATAGGAAATTACACATTAACAATTTATTTAACACACACCATTTTAACAGTATCACAAAAGGTTAAAATATTCAAGCCAGGTGTTAACCCGTTCTATCTGTAAGATTCTACTTACGCAAGAAAAGATATCAAATATGAAGCACACTTTTCAACCATTATTTGCTCTAAATAAGTAAAATTGTAAAATATAATAGAAACGTTACATACAGCGTTAAAAGCATAGTTAAACTATTCATTTACATTCCATTTTGCGTCATTATCAACTTTCAAAATTCTGTAGATTTAAAAATTATCATGATGTTAGCAAATTGATATCCATACAAATGGAAAACGGTTTGCTAATATTTAGAGCCCGGTTGAATTGCAGTTTGTAACAAATGTGCACAGAAGATTATTGAAACTACAGTTTTCAAGTGGATTTAGGACTATTTTACCTTTTTAATGACGTAATCAAAATAGAGATGCTGTCTTAGAACTGTTTTAAGATCTGAAAAATAAATTCAAAGAATTTCAACTATTTTCAAATAATTTGAAATTGTGATTAATTATTCAGTTAAGATCATTCTCTAATTTGATTCTCAATTGCTACGCTTGATTATAGCTCCAGGCAAAATAGCTGTTGTTAATGTTTGATTCACTAAATCACATTTAAAGACAAAAAAAATTGACATCAACATTTTAACCATAAATTACATCACATCAGTTTTCTAAAGTTGTACACAGATTACATTTGTGCATGCAACTAATTTTATAATTGAAGCGTTTTATTTTTGGTATTTTAAGGACCTGGACCTAAACAATGAAAAACGCTAAGAATTAACTTATAATGATTCAAACCGGCCAAAAATGTGACGTGTCACGCGGTTTAGAGCTATTAATTAATTACTGGTGATAAATTATCAGTGACAAGATTGCTCATTCGGTAGAGCCTCGGTACGTTACTCCAAGGGTCCCGTGTTCGAGACACTCTAAGTCTACTCACTTTTCTCTTCCCATGGCACATATATTCCAAAAAGTGAACCAGTCAAATTTTATGACATTATCTTGTGCTGTTTAATATTTGGTACCCTATGAGAGCGGTTTTTGTTCATTGTCTGAAACGGATTGTATTTAGATGGGAGAAAGAAAATTGATAAACCAGACAAAACACTTTGGTTCAAATAAATCTACCAGAAGGAAAAACTCTAAAGAACTATTATTTGTCAGCTCCTTCCGTCATCGTCATCACTTAAGGATCATTCAATCATGATTTGGACACTCGATCAATCACTTTATAACTTTCCTACATCTGGAAATGAGCTGCAGGAAATATCGTTAAAAAATATAACATACGCTTTTGGAATTGAGATAAGCTTGAATCCTATTTAGTATGAAAAGAACAATATTATTTATTTATTTATTTATGACCTTTTAATTATTTACATTTACTTGTTCCATGTTTACAATTCAAAAGGTACACTATTTAACGAATGTGATGGTTATTTTCATTCCCTTAAGTTATTGTAATCTATTTGATTTTTGCTTCCTTTCAGATATATTGCAACATCATCAAAAGGATTTTTCAACATCATAGGACTGTTTAAGATTTGTGTACACTTTGATGAAGGTCTGGAACAACAACAACAAAAAAACATTCGTGCAAAATTTCAGATCATTTGCTCTCTATCCGTTTTCCCAAAATACTCATTCAATTTGTGCAAAACCTTTAATCTATCAAGTGTTCTTGTTCGAATGTTATTTTTAATTTCTACGTATAAATTACAGTGGTTCCGGTAGATAACTTTTGCATGATCAGATGATACGACCAGAATATCTAAATCAAAACCGAAAACATCAAACGGGGTCTTGCATTACAAACTATTTCAATTTAATATCAAAGCCATTGTTAATACGATTATCCCCACGTTCAATCAAACAATGTCCTTAGAAATTCAATTAGGAATCGATATCTAATGAAACGTGAGACAAAATTGTTCACCTTAAAAGACATTAAAATGATAGGACTTTTTCAGTGTTTTAAATTACAAAAGTAAACCCCAATTTTGTCGAAAGCATAGTTTAACGAAGGCATTTGTTTCTGACTATTTCATGGGCTCATGTTTGGACAATTAGAGCTATCATGGACTCTTTTCAACTACACACTTTACTATCAATACTTAACTAGAGTCTATAACATTCATTTTGTTAAACAATTTATATTTTCCTAAACAGAAGTAAAAAAAGTTTTTTTTTGATAATAATCGATAAAAAATAGATACGACAGTCTCCTCGCCCAATTTTCAGCTCGTTCAAATTTAAGACGGTCTTTGCGCCCAATTTTCAGCTCGTGCGAATTTTGCAGGACTCAGACATGTTTGAATCAGCTGATTTAAAGAGAAAGATAAATGAAGTATTGTGTTTGAGAAGTTAGCTATTTCCCACTTCAATGGCATCATCATCTCAGTTGTTCAACATAGTATAATCATGTTTTATGATCAGTTGTTTTACATTTTTACGTAGTATATCATGTTTTCCGACAACACGACAAGTCTTGTTGAATAAACAAGAAAAAAAAATCTGAGACAATGTAACTAAGATAAATCTTCGTTATCCCATGGGATAGTTTATGTCACACATTGAAAAAATAGATCCTTTTATAAACACGAGCTCGAATAGATTGTCATTTAACAGTCGTAATTTTTAATTGAGTTACGAGAGACTCTTTTGAAACATTTGAACCAAAATGGTATTTGCGGTTCATGCTGCGTATCAATTTAAATGATGCATGTTTCAAGTTCGATTTGAAATGTTCTGTTGCAGTTTTATTCAAATGAACTCAAGATAAGAACGAAAGTTTTAATGAAAAAAAAACAAAACAAAACAATATACGTATTTTATCAGTTTACAATAGTTGGTTGGTATTGTATTAAAATGACCGACTGTTATTAAAAGGGAAACTAAATTCCTTCCCGCTGTTTCTACCAATCAACGTTTGTATATATATATTTTCATAAACTTCGTATGTTTGTATTAATAGAACAAACCTAATGGCTAACACTGACAAAAATAATATGTATTTAAATATATATGGAGCAGAATTTGGGTATTTATTCGCAGTTTATCTGTCAATTTCTATTTATCTAATTTATATTCGTATTCATTAAATTCTTATCTATAATCATATAAATTTAAATTGATTTAAACAAGTTTAATTGCTAATTTTTAATTGACTGTTAAACATTTGTATTTGATACTGCAGAATGTAAGGATCAGTTGTTTCTACCTCTTGTTTAAACTACGTGATTAGATATTATGTTGCATACTTCTTCGTTTTCAATTCGAATAATTTAGTTTTAACTTATGATCTTGAACGTCCTTTCTTTTAAAAATACA